TGTGATCTTTTCTGATGCATCTAAGTTTAACCAGCCTTTTCTCCCTAGAGGTCTGATAAATATTCAGATCTTTTCCCCTCTATGGTTTGATTTTTTTAAAATATTCAATTCTTCAGTACATCTGGAATGCATTTCAGCCTGTGGTATGATACAAAAGGTTTATAATTTGCAAGAGGAGGGAGCCTCATTTACACTTGCAAGTTTCCTTCTCTCCCTTCTTGAGCTGCTTCTCTCTTTTCCAGGCCTAAAAGCAAAGATACCATAAGTTACAGGAACGCAGGCAAGGCTGTGGATATTTCCTCCTAATTAAAGAGATTATTGTTGTTGTGCATAATTAAACATTTACTGTATAGGAGAGTTCTCTGTGCTTTGTACAACTAGAATGAGTCATCACACATCTCTATGAGATAGAAATTACTGCCCCTATTTTACAGATGAGGAAAACTGAGGTTTAAGTAACTTGCCCAAGATCACACACTAGGGTGATTGTTATTTTTTCTTCACTTCCTCTGGTTATTCATGAACTTGCCCTCTAGTTGTTAATTTAAAATGTGCTTGTTTTCTTGAAATTAAGGTATAGATGATCAGCTTTAGAAACAAACAGAAAACCTTGAAATGTTCAAGTGTTCCAAAAGTAGAAAAGGACACTAAAGAGGACCTAGAAACTCCCAAAAGAGGTTGGCACCATTCCATTGACCAATAACCATTGGTGTCTTGGTAAAGATGAAATTTATATTATCTGGCTTTTAGAAAGATTGGTTCCAGGAATAGTAATCAAGAACTTACTCATGTCTAAATAAATGGGGTGATTTGGCCTGGAATAGAGACTGATTTATTTTGTGTTCCTGTTTTAGGAAGATTTCTGTTTTTGTGAACCTGGAAGATCCTCAGCGAAGGGAAGGAAAGGAGGGCTGAACAGAAACAAGGTGGGAAAACACGAACAAACACAAAAGCCCCACGAAGGGGCCTGCAGCTCTTGCCACACCAGTTGCTGGGCTTCAGCGTCCTGTTAAATGGAACTGGGGCTTCCCCGGGTGGCTCAGCTGATAAAGAACCCACCTGCCAATGCAGGAGGCACAAGAGACATGGGTTCAATCCCCGGGTCAGGAAGATCCCCTGGAGGAGGAAATGCCAACCGCTCCAGTGTTCCTGCCTGGAAAATTCCACAAGCCTGGTGGGCTACATTCCACGGGGTCACAAAGCGTCAGACATGACTGAACGCACAGTCATGCACGCAAAATGGAACTGATGGTTATAACCCCTGGTTCACAGAACTACTCACGCTGAGGACAATGTAAAGTGGAATCCTTAAGGCAGAATCCAGGTGTGCCTGGGCCTGAATTAAGAGCTTGTGCTGCCTTCTCCCAGGTGATTCCCACAGAGGTCCAATGTTGTTGTTGTTGTTGGGTGGCCCTATGAGGACAGCACAGTTATGAGGATTTGGTGACAAGCTGAAATTCGCCAAAAATGTGTGCTTGAAAGCAGACAAGTAAAGTCTCCTGAGTCAGGAAAAGAAGGAAGATGCTAGAGAGGCAAGAAGGACGATATAGTTTGTGTTCAAGGCGTTTATAACAAGGTGTCTTTGCTTGATCCTCTGAACAACTGGATCAAGTCAGTGTTACATTCCCATCTGTAGATGTAGGGAGAAGCCTGAGGGAAGTTCAACCACCAGCTCAAGTCCATATTGGATTCAACTCCAGGTCTCCTGGGTGGTAAGGCCTAGGGGATCTCAGAGAACACGGGTGGTAAATCCCACAAGGCATCCCAGGCAGCTCTGACCAGAGAGTGGAAGGTCTTCCCTCTTAGCAAGGATGCTCAGGAAGCTGTGGCCTTCCAAGCCAGAAGAGTGATCAGCTCCCTGAAAAGGCGGATGCAGGAAGCACGGAGCTTCCTCAAAGCACGGATCCAGTTTGGACCTCTGGGCAGTGTCAGAGAAATGCATCCCCTAGGTCAGCGTCCTGATTACAGCCCTGTTTCCCTCAGTTAGATATAATCCACCCTAGGCCATTTTAACTTGGCAGAACAGTAGAAAACAGATTTCAAGAACAGACTGAATCAAGTCATTCCTCTGTAAGCTACAAAAGAATCCAGATTTCATACTTCTTTAGCTTTAAATTGATACTTAAAGGATTTAAAACATTCATAACTGGTGGTGGTGGTAGCTGGGGGTACAGGTACTAAGCCCAGAATAGAGATAGAGCAGTTCTGGATTCTGGTACAGCTCTCCTGCCAAGAATATCTCCCTGCTTGGAACAGTTGTGAGTGCAAGCGAGTATTTTATGGTTTGTCTCTTTGATTGCCAGTTTCAAAGAAGTCTGAACGTAGAGTGTTTGAAAAACACATAGAAATATAAAGAAGTAGAGAAAAAAAAATCACCCGTAATCCTATCAGTCAGTAATAACCACTTTATGTTGTGGTATTTCTCTCTCTAGTTTCTTTCTGGGCTTTTATTTTTAAAATAAATGTGATACCTGGCTCCAGACCTATGCACTTCCCAGACTGGATGAGATGAGGCCCATTCCATCCTGAAACCATATACTTTTCTAAATATAAAATCCAATATGCTCATTAGTTCAGTTCAGTCACTCAGTCATGTCCGACTCTTTGCATCCCCATGGACTGCAGCATGCCAGGCCTCCCTGTCTGTTGCCAACTCCCCAGAGTTTACTCAAACTCATGTCCATTGAGTCGGTGATGCCATCCAACCATCTCATCCTCTGTCGTCCCCTCCTCCTCCCGCCTTCAGTCTTTCCCAGCATCAGAGTCAGTTCTTCCCATCAGGTGGCCAAAGTATTGGAGTTTCAGCTTCAGCATCAGTCCTCCCAATGAATATTCAGGACTGATTTCATTTAGGATGGACTGGTTGGATCTCCTTTCAGTCCAAGGGACTCTCAAGAGTCTTCTCCAATACCACAGTTCAAAAGCATCAATTCTTCGGTGCTCATTAGAGAAAATCTAAAAGTTTCAGAAAAAGAGAGAAGGAAATTAAATTAAAATTCCTTTACCCAGATAAGTAACACTGGAGTGAATTTCCTTCTTGTCTTTTTTCTTTGCATTTCTTTGATTATAATATATATATATATTTTACTTAATTTTGCATTCTATTTTGCTTTCTTAAGATCATATCATAAGCATTCTCTCATGTTATTGTATATTCTCCATAAACATTTATCTTTCAAGGCTACATAATATTCCTTGGGATGGGTATTATATAACTTAACTATTTCATTGTTGATGAACATTTGATTTTCTGTGAATTCTTTTTTTTTTAAATTTATTTATTTATTTGACTTCACCCAGTCAGTTTCAGCACTCGAGATCTTCCATCTTCATTGTGGCGTGCAGAATCTTTAGTTGGGGCTGAGAAGTCTTAATTGTGGCATGTAGGATCTACTTCCCTGACCGGGTATTGGACCTGGGCCCCTGGTATTAAGAATGTAGAGTCTTAACCGCGGGACAACCAGGGAAGTCCCTGTGAATCCTTTTTTGAAAATCTTTGCCCACACCTCTTTTATTTCTTTAGGTTTGAGTCCTTCAAGATTAATTGCTGGGTAAAAGCATATACATCTTTTAGAGAGTACAAATGTTTTCCTGTACGCTGTCATGCATTCCTTTGGAAAGTTCTTAACTGAAGCACTCGTGGAGTACTTCCTTCATTACACCCTTGATGGCTCTGCCTATTTCACTTTGTAAAAAAAATGTTGCCATTGAATACATGAATTTTTATTACTGAGCTAAGATCCCAAATAGTTGGTACCTTCACTAGGCATGGCTGTGCAATGTTACCTCTTGACTCAGTTTCCCCATTCTTATCATGACAAGTGTTTGTTAAATTTGGAGGATGATTTCAAGTTCTCAAAGTTGGAAATACTGGTTAAAATTCCAGTTTCAGCTCTTCAGGTTTCTGTTTCCTCATCTGTAGAATGGGAATGATACCTAACCTAGATAATCATGGTGATGATTGAAAAAAAGAAAAGAATAACAACAATAAAAATATATAAATCACTTAACACCATGCCAGCAGCTACCTGGTGAATATTACTTCCTTCCTTCTTTATCTTCAACTTAGAAACCATTTGAAAAGTTGGGAAAAGTAGTTTTAAAATACTGGATTTCTAGTTGTGGAAACCAAAGCTCAGAGAAGCTGTGTCTTTCCTAAAGTCACAATGACCAGTAAATGACAAAGTGAGGTTCACAACGCTGTCTCAAAATGGAGTTTCACTGGGCAACTGCAGGATATGATCTTCACATCTGTTTTATTTGGCCCATGAAGCCAAAGTAAGAAAATAGAATAAAATCAAATAAAGCCAACACTGAAAATGAGATTTCACATCCACATATGATTTCTGGTTTCTCTTGAGAAATCATTAGATCTGGTGATAGGGGAGGGAGAGTCGAATGGTGACTGGCCCGTTTGCAAGAGCCACGGATTTCCAATCCACCAAGTCTGCTCAAAGAGTGCGTCGAGGTTGCCGGTTCCTGCCTGGCTTGCCGGTGAACTGAAGTTGGCGACCCCTGCTCTGACCCAGCTGACATCGCACCCAGGGTTTCTGGCTCCCCAGTCCCAGGCTGGCCGCAGGCTCCTGGCTAACCTCGCACTGCGTGTGTGCACGATGGCCTGAGATGCCGTGAGGATTGCCCACCGAGCCGGGCCGTGTAGTCCAGGAATGTGAACGTACATTGTTCTCCGCCCAACCGCATGCATGCGGGCTGAGCTCACTCTGGCCCGCTGCCTCCTTCCCCCAATCTCTCCAATTAAAAACATATTACCTTCCCACTCCACCCGGAGCAGCCCTGGGCCGCAGCTTTATTTTATAAACACATTTAGACAAGTTCAAAAAGGAATGATTCATACTGGACCTAAGCACTCCTAAACGCCAGGGCTGCTGAGCATTTTCGCAGGGAAAGCATCCTGAGCGGGACCAGGCCTGGCCCTCGGGGGGTATCATCTCTCCCGCTCGAAGGCCAGGGATTACCTGTCCGCAGCTGGAAGGACTTACCCGCAAGGCCACTTTTCGGCACCCCCAGCCCAGAGCCAGCCACCACAGGCTCCTGGAAGAGAGGGCTGCGGGGGCCCGGGCCCTCCCCCACGCAGAGACATCCTTTGATCCCCATCCGCTCGCCTCCCGTCCAGGCTCCCCGCCTTCCGTCCCTCCTTTCTTGCTCCTGTGCAGCTCTGGCCCCCAGCAGGCCCCCAGACTCACCTTCCTATTCTGGATTTGAATTCCTTCCTTCCACGCCCTCCACTCCTAGAGAGCAGGTCCTGGAGAGTCTTGCAGGCTCCCCTCCACAAGGCCTAGCTCAGTGATGGGCGAATGGAGGGGCACAGGCAGGTGCCAAAATGATAATAATAATGATGATTGAGGCTCTTGGGTAGGGAGCGTTGACTGCGGGCCAGCCATGGACCTGAGAAATTTACATCTGTTCTTTAATTCTCACAGAAATGCCATGGAGTATGTGCTGTTTGCTATAAATCCATTTTCATAGGTGAGGAAATCGAGGAGTAGATTTCAGCTGAACTCTACCCATGGGGATCTCTTAATAGTCATAAATGGAAGGGTCCTTGGATGATTCGGTCTTGTCACCTGATTTTTACAGATGGAGAAACTGAGGCCCAGAGAGGAAGAGGGGTTTTCCCAAGATTGGAAGAGGAGGGAGCCACCCTAGCCCCTTATCATGCCTCGAGCATCCTCCCTACACATAGCAGGAGTCTAGTGAGATATCTTGAATGAATGAACAAATGACTGTATTAGTATCTTTATGGGACTCTCCTACTCAGACCATAATTACTGTGATGGTATCTTACTCATACCTGAATCCCTGGTGCTAAGCTCAGGACCCACAGTGAAGGTCCTCTCTCAGTATATGTTGAAGGGATAAGTCAGTCCCTTACTGTGCCTTTAGCCACTGGAGCTTAGCCCTTAATTCTTGCTTTATGGATATGGTTTTTAATTTGCCGCCCTCAACTGGAGGGTGAGGTGTCTGTCTCCTCTCTCCCTTGTATGCGAGGCCATGCTCGTCATGCAGACGGGCTGAGTTCACGGATGCCCACTCACTTATTCTTGCTCTCATTACTTTATAGTGAGCAAATACTAGGTACCGGGCACTGTGCCAGGTGCCTGCCAAGCACAGTGATGCAAAGGCACCCTGCTCCCAGAAATCACCTCTATGACACCCACAATGGCCATTTCTGCCTCTGCCCACTGACTGGAATGGGCAGTTTCTCTAACTGTGGGGGGGTCTAGGGGAAGGAGGTTTTCCAAAGTCCGTCATCTTCTCTGCCCATTCTTCACCAGTCCTCCTAAGCCTAGTCTTTCCAATGATGGCAATCCCCAGGAGCAGGAAGCTGCTGGCTGGATTCTGCTCACTAGTCTAGTCATTCAACAAATGTTTACTGAGTGCCTGAAAAGTGAAAGTGAAAGTGAAGTCACTCAGTCGTGTCTGACTTGTAGCGACCCCATGGACTGCAGTCTACTGGGCTCCTCTGTCCATGGGGTTTTCCAGGCAAGAGTACTGGAGTGGGCTGCCATTTCCTTTGTGCCAAGTCCTATGATAATAAGAGATATCCTGTCCTTAGGATCATTCTTGCTAGAAAGGTCTGCCTAAATCAGAAGTTTTGGGGACCAAGTAGCCAAATTTAGCTTGGCTCAGACCGGGGGGACGTTATTGTCATCGAATACCAAATCCTGGGATGGCCCTGGGCATGGCCGGGAGTCTTTCTCTACATCGCTTGTCTTTGCCTGCTGGTTCTGTCTCTCCTTCTCAGAGCTGATGCTTTTGCCCTGAGAAGATGTGGCCACTGTCAATATAGGGCTCACAGATTCCCAGGGAGGCAAATAAGGGAATACCAGGGGCCACAGGAATGCCAGGCGGTGCTCAGTCATACCGGTGGCTGTAAGACTCTGCTCTCTGTGCTCTTCTCTTGGTCTCCCAGCTATCTTGGGCAGTTTCATCTTGAGTCCTATACCTGTGAGTCCGGTTCATAGACAATTTGAGAGTGAGGTGAATGAGTGCATTTTTAAAGTTAATTTTTGTTGGAGTATAGTTGCTTTTTTTGGAGAAGGAAATGGTTATCCACCCCAGTATTCTTACCTGGGAAATCCCAAGGAATGAGGAGCCTGGCGGTTTACAGTCCATGGGACTGCAAAGAGCAGGACACAGCTTAGCAACTAAACGGCAACAACATAGCGCTTTACAGAGCTGTGTTAGTTTCTGCTGTCCCCCAGAGTGAACCAGGTGTGCGTACACACACATCCCTTCTTTTTTGGGTTTCCTTTCCCTTTGGGTCACCACAATACACTGAGCAGCATCACCTGTGCTGTATGGGACTTCCCTGCTGGCTCAGAGAGTAAAGAATCTGCCTGCAATGCAGGAGACCCAGGTTCGATCCCTGGGTCAGGAAGATCCCCTGGAGAAAGGAATGGCTACCCACTCCAGCACTCTTGTCTGGAGAATCCCATGGACAGACGAGCCTGGCAGACATCAATGTTTGGAGCTCATAGACTCTTCTCCTCCTACCATCACCTTTCATGTGATTCTGCTCCAATAGCTGCCGTTCTCTGCACTTCAAACAACTACCATGTCAATTCCAAATTTCAAATTCATGCGGAACAACTGGAATCGACCTTGTGTGAGTCACACGCTCACCCTGCACAAAGAGCAGGGCCAAGACGTGTGGTCATATCGTCCTAACATGACAGCAGGGATTCTCATACATTGCTGGGGGGAATGCAAAATGGTGCAGCCACTTTGGAGGACTGTTGGGAAGCTTCTTACACAACTAAATGCACTCTACCCATACAACCCAGGAATCATGCTCCTTGTAATTTACCCAATTTTTTTCCATTAACCCAAATTTTTATCCCACAAATATCCTGCACATAATTGTTTCAGTTCAGTTCAGTCGCTCAGTTGTGTCCAACTCTTTGCGACCCCATGGACTGCAGCACGCCAGGCTTCCCTGTCCCTCACCAACTCCCAGAGCTTACTCAAACTCATGTCCATCGAGTCAGTGATGCCATCCAAGCATCTCATCCTCTGTTGTCCCCTTCTCCTCCCACCTTCAATGTTTCCCAGCATCAGGGTCTTTTCCAGTGAGTCACCTCTTCACATCAGGTAGCCAAAGCCTTGGAGCTTTAGCTTCAGCATGAGTCCTTCCAATGAATATTCGGGGTTGATTTCCTTTAAGATTGACTGGTTTGATCTCCTTGCAGTTCAAGGGACTCTCAAGAATCTTCTCCAGCACCACAGTTCAAAAGCATCAATTCCTTGACGCTCAGCCTTCTTTATGGTCCAACTCTCACATCCATTCATGACTACTGGAAAAACCATAGCTTTGACTAGGTGGACCTTTGTAGGCAAAATAATGTCTCTGCTTTTTGGAGAGAGGGAGGGATGAATGGAGAACAGAGAACTTTTTAGGGCAGGGAAACTATTCTGTATGATATTATGATGGTGGACACATGTCGTTGTCCATCTCTCCAAATCCATAGAGTGTACAACACCAAAAGTGAACCTAAACCATGAACTATGGACTCTGTGTGATAATTGTGCATCACACAGAGTGACGTCCCACTCTGGTAGGAGATGCAGATAGTGGAGGAGGTTATGTGTGTCAGGGGCCAGGGGGTATATGGGAACTCTCTGTACTTTTTGCTTAATTTTGCTGTGAAATATGACTTCTCTGAAAGGTAAAGTCTATCAATTAAAAAAAAATTAACAATGTCCTGCCTGCGGGCTGCACGTGGCCTGAGGGTCTACTGTCTACCAACATGAGGCCCTTGAGAAATTGACCCTGCTTCTTCAAACCCAAGTACCACTTGGCTGCAAGACTTAATCTTTCCCAGCAAGTGCACATATTAGGTAAGAATCAGAGATGCCTGTACCTGCCTGTCAGATGCCCTGATTGGCCCAAAGTAACAAAAGCAGCCATAAAGAGGTGAAACAGCTCTAGGCCACAGCCCAAGCACCCTGTCTGGGATTAAGTGGCAGTCTTGAGACTCTCTGAAATAAAGGATAGTTCAAGACCTCATCACTGCCTTCTTAAACCCTGGGGTGTCTAGGCTGGAACGTTTGTGGTTACTAAGGAAGTGATGGGACACCTGAGGCAAGCAGGAACCATCCCCCTGAGTCTCAAGGATGGAAACAGGGGCCTGGTCCTGCTGCGGAGAACCTGTGGAGGAACTAACGCCTGGGGGTCCGTGACACAGCGGCATGAACACTGCCCCGAGGACAAACGTGACGTCGGCTGGAAGGTTTTGTAGGATCCTGAGTAGAGACCAACAAATACCACCTCTAAGAGTTCCTTCTGCTTGGGTCTCAAAGTCACATTAGCATACTACTTCGCCTATGTGGTCATGGCCAACATCAGCTGTCACAAATCATGTTGATAGTCCACACCTTTGACAGAGTGTGATGGAAATGGTGCTTTACCTCCATGATCTCTCTGTAAGACCTACAGCTCCAGTCTAATCATGAGAAAACTATCAGACAAATTTCAATAGAGGAGTTTCTAACAAAACACCTGACCAGGAATCATCAAAACTGTCAGGTCATCAAAAACAAGGAAAGTCTGAGGGACTTCCCTGATGGTCCAGTGGCTAAGACTCCAAGCTCCCAATGCAGGGGGCCCAGGTTTGATCCCTGTCAGGGAACTAGGCCCAACATGCTGCAACAAAGAGTTTGCATGCATCAACTAAAGAACCCACATGCTGCAACTAAAAAGAACCCATATGCTGCAACTAAGACCTGTCAGAGCCAAATAAATAAATATTAGAAAAAGAAAAATCAAGGGAAATCTGAGAAACTGTCAAAGCCAAGAAGAGCCTAAGGAGACATGATGACTAAATGTTATGTGATATCTTGGGTGGTTTCCTGGAATAGAAGAAAGACATTAGGTAAAAAATCTGAATAATCTATGGACTGTAGTTCATAATAATGTACTTGTATTGGTTTGTTCGTCATAACAAATAGACAATGCTAGTGTATCACAGGGGAAACCATGCAGGTGGGAGGGGGTGGTGTAGACCTCTCTTTACTATTTGCTCAGTTTTTCTGTAAATCTGAAACTGTTCTAAAAAAATTAAGCTTATAATTAAATAAAGTCTATTCACTAA